CTCCCGGCCCCCCAGACATCCCCCCCCTTGAAGCCGCCTCTTACCCCCGGGCTCTTCCGACAGCTCCCCGGCATCCTCTCGCCGGGTGCAGCTCTTCCCGCCCCGCTCCCTACCCCCTCTCCTCGGCCGCTGCGGCCTGTGGGTCTTGAGGGAGCCAGGCGGGGGTCTCCCGGAGAGTCTGGCCTCCTGCTGGGGCCTAGGGACCAGGGTGGGAGGCTGGGCCCAGCTCCCAGCCCACTGTTTTTTCTCTGCTGGCATCCTGCGTGAGTGGGGGGCTCTGCCCCGCTGCCGGCTGGAGGTTAGCCCCCCGAAATAGCTTGCCAAAGGGCTAGTGGGTGAAGGTAGGTTGCCAGCAAACCTCGGCATGATGGGTGGCAGCGTGCCCAGCGGTGCCGTGGCTGTGTCATGTCTGTCTGTCTGTCAGTAGTCTGCTGACCCGCCAGGCTCTGGAGTAGCCTAGCATAACCCATTAGTCATTTTTAAAAGGTCTGCTAGTCGCTCCCCAGCAAACCATTTCTAAATGGAAACTCTTGTCAGGGCTGATGATGCGTGTCAGGGAGGGCTTTGGGGACAGGGACCATCTTAATCCTCCTCCCCGCTCCCCAGCAAGTGTTTTTGGAAAAAAAGCAAAGGTTTTGAACAGCTCACCTGCTCGGGGGAGAGCTTCCCAAAGCCCTCAGCCCCAGGGAGCGATGTTGCATTTCCTGTTTGTCTCCTGTGACATTTGCATTTTGCTCTTTTAGAACCACTGGGTTGCAGGGGTGCTTCGCAGATGTCCCATGGCCCATCAGGTTAGTTGAGCCTTGCTTGATTTGGGGTGTTTCTGTGCAGGGGGGAAGTGAAATTGGTGAGCCTTTCGTTACTTTCTGCGCTTTCCGCAGAAACTAACTAGAAGCAGAAGTTTCTGATTTGGGCTTTGTGGTAAGCACTGGTTGAAAGAGATGCAAAAAAGAGCAGAACCAAAGTTGAACAGGGCCCCCCTGCGATTAATGGAGAAAGTGAGGTTTTTTTGGCCTGGAAGGAATAAGAGTGCTGATCTGAGTGGTGTCGAATGCTCCTGTTGGGGTTGGTTGGAGGTTGGTCTGCTGGTGTCATCACTAAGCAGCACTATGCATCCACACCCTTCCCAGGAATGTTGGTAGCAGGTGTAAGCAAGCCAGATCCCATCTCTTTTCATACCAGGCTCTTGCCAGCTGGCTCACTCTTCTGGTTAGCAGATCCAGGTACGTGTTCAGTCCTCAGATCAGTTTCCAGTGTGTGTGGGTAGGCAGGCCAAGCAGATCAAAGCTATCGACATCCCCTGGATTGAGAGCAGACACAGGTTACACAGCCCGTGCTCTCGTGCCAGAGTTCCTTCAATTTATCCTTTTCTTATTTTGGCTGTAGCATCCACAATGTACTGGCTCTGCCCTGATCAGAAATGGGCTGTGTTCCATTTTACTTAGGGCAAGGGAAACTGTCCTCAGTGCCTTGTTCTCCCCTGTGTTACTCCAGCCATTAGTACTGTGCGTTCAGCTTCCTGGAGCTCTCCTGCTGTTCTTCCAGCCTGGGCCACCATCACAGGCTGAAGGGCAGTGCATCGTCCGCAGCTCTGGCAACCTTTGCTGACTGATATTTGTTTTTTAGTGACTGTTATGCTGGAGGAAGGTGCTCCCTGGACAGTCCTGGAGACAGAAGCGTTGTATTTCTAGAACAGGTACAGTACAGACAGCAGCCAAACAAAGCTCTTGTTCTGTGTCAGGCCTCTGCCTCCCCTTGCAGAGTGTCCCTGGGAGGGGGAGGATTGGTTGGCACTTGGCCTTTCTCTTGCCACTGCTGACGTCAGGAACCTGTGGTGTCGGGGTTGTTGCAATGTTGAACTTGCACCTGTGCCCTGGTAAACTGGGCTGTGAAAAGCATTGCCAGAAAAACAAGCAGTGGATAAACTGGGTCCCTGTGCCTGGGGAACCCCTCCTGAGCAGTCGAGATGAGGCGCAGAAAGCAAGCGCAGCGCCACGTGTAAGGTGAGTCAGCGTTCCTGGGGTGATGAAGAACTGGTTTGCCAGCTGACTGGTATTGATGTTAGGCCTCTACATCTTTCACATCCTTCCAGTAGAGCGAGTCAGATGGGAGAAATTATTTAGCTAGTCTGGTGATGGCGATGCCTGGTGATTTTGCGGTTTCTGTGATAGCCCGAGGACACAGGCCAGAAGAGGTGTTTAACTAGTGATGGTATGTTTGGAAAAGCTAGACAAGCTTTCATATACAGAGTTTTCACCAAAAGTAGCAAAACTGATCCTAAATTCAGCAGTTCTTCTCACCTTGTGCTTACGGTGGTGATGTGCTGCTTCCATTTTGGACTTGATGGAAGACTTTTGTGCCTGAAAGCTAGTCCAATTCCCAGCTCTCATCTCTCTAGTAAGATAAATTACCTCCTATATGCAAAACTTGTTCAGAAATGGGGATGGAAATAACATATTCTGTTCTTCCATGTGCAGCTTTCTGCAGAATTCCATGAATCCATGCAGAATTCAAAAATGGCTATTTTGTATACTCTTTCTGAACCCTGCAGATTGCCTTGGTACTGCGTCCCTCCATCCTGCTGCGATGAGTGGGAAGTCCTTGCTCTTAAAGGTCATTCTCCTTGGGGATGGTGGAGTTGGGAAGAGTTCCCTCATGAACCGGTACGTCACCAACAAGTTTGACTCGCAGGCTTTCCACACCATTGGTGTGGAGTTCTTAAACCGGGACCTGGAGGTGGATGGACGTTTTGTGACCCTCCAGATTTGGGACACTGCGGGACAGGAGAGATTCAAGAGCCTGCGAACCCCCTTTTACAGGGGAGCAGACTGCTGCCTGCTGACCTTCAGCGTGGACGACCGGCAGAGCTTTGAGAACCTCAGTAACTGGCAGAAGGAGTTTGTCTATTATGCTGACGTGAAGGACCCTGAACACTTCCCATTTGTGGTCCTGGGCAACAAGATAGACAAACTTGAGAGACAAGTGAGCACAGAGGAGGCCCAGGCTTGGTGCATGGAAAACGGTAACTATCCGTACCTGGAGACTAGTGCCAAGGATGACACCAATGTGGCAGTAGCCTTTGAGGAGGCTGTGAGACAAGTGCTGGCGGTGGAGGAGCAGCTAGAGCACTGCATGCTGGGCCACACCATTGACCTGCACACCAGCTCCAAATCAGGGTCCTCCTGCTGTTAGAGAGTGGCTGCTGCTTCGGGAACGTGGCTCGGAGCCGGTGGCTGGGTCGGAGTAAGCGCAGGCAGTGCTGGGGCACTCTGAGGAGAGTGGCCACAAGGACACTTAGGTGGTTTGCTCACTGGGAAGTTGCAGCCTCACCATCTGAATTCCAGCTGGAGTTTTCGGGCACAGAGCATGTATCTGCAGGAGGAAGCTGTTGAAAAGCACGCGAGTGTAGTCCTGCTTCCACCTCTGCCTGTTTTAGCAGGTTTAAAGGACTGGGTTAAAGTCCTTTAAATTCACTAAAGACAGCGGCGATCTGATCTGTACCAAGAACTGCCTGTGGAACAAAGCTGAGAGCGCTCTAGACACTCTATGAAGTATTTTAGTCCCGAACTCAAAAAAGAAAAATAGACCCACTAAACTCATGACCTTACTGCCAAAGGAGAGTCTGCTCAGCATACTGAATGGGACCTGTTGTAGAGACTCTAGCCCGTGCGACTGTGAGAATGCCAAATACTAGTGTGGCTGAGGAGATGTGTGTATCTGTTGTTTGGGATAAGTGTATTCTGTCCTGAGACTGAGTTGTGCTGAGAATTGTTAGAGCTCTGATCTGAAGCAACACACGCAGGAGAGACGGACCTGGGTTTGAATGTGGCAGCATCAGTTCTTCGTAGCTGCCTATTTCTGGTCTGTTTTTCCTCACCTCTAACTCTGTCTCATGTGAGTGTTATTTTGTGGAGGGATTGTGTGCTGCTTGTTTAACATATGTTTCCTTGTCTCTTCTGGAGGCTCAGCACTGGATCCCACTTCTCATACCTTGAAGCCCTGGATGAAAAATACCAATGTGGACACTCGGTGGGTCATGTCAAAGGGTTTAGCATTACTCAGGAGTTCAGGAACAGGAAACTTCAGCTGGTTTCTGTCACATGTGCAGATGAGATGCTTTAACAGACCAGATGGTAGGTGGGTGGGATGTCTCCTAGGTGTGCAGGTGGCCAGGGGAGTCATCAGTGGTCAGCTGGTGTGCGGGGCCAGTGGCCACTGTGCTTCGTTAGCTGGCGGATCAGCATCCTCAGTTGGTTTAGCACAGATGTTCCCACCAGGATGCTGCAACGTGGAAGCATTCCCTTCATTACCTGCTGTGTCAGGTGTGGTGCTGCTGAGCACAGTTAACTCGTGCCGTTGTCCTGGCCTTTACTCCCTAACGGGGAATCCAGTACGTTTTAGCTGTAATTCATATGACAAACTTTACTGGTAGAGGATGTCCACTCGGTTAAGTGGCCTTTGTTTATGGCTGCTGTGTTTGCCCCGCTGGGGAGAGCTGCACTAGTTCCACCTCTGTTCAGGGTGGGTGAAAATGGGCAGGAGCAGGGAACCTTCTAGAAAAGGACACCAGGCTTTGCTGATCCCAGCTCCTGCCCCCTGTTAGGTGTTAGTCCCAAGCTGTCCGTGTAGCAGAGAGATGAGTGCTTGCCGACTGCTGTCTTTACCATTATAACCTCATGTCCTGCAGCTTCCTGTGGAAACGTTTTGTCCAAAACTATGGCTTTGCCCATAAGCACGTAGGAACCTGCCATGGGGAGAGCTTCCCCGAGTACATACCTGCTACCTGCTGAGTGCGAGTCCCACTGTGAAGAGCTACTGGATGGTAAATTCTGTAGCTCAAATCGAGCAGCCTCACTTACGCTGTGCTTTAGAGCAGGGCAGTCTCTGCCCTCCTGCTGACTGGTGGCAGCTGATCCCCCGTCACCGTGCAGTCTCTGAGCCTGCAGGGTGTCTCCTCTGGGAAAACTCGGGACCATCCTGCCCCTCTCTGCAGGGCAGCTACGTGTGGAAGGGGCAGGAGCTTTAATGCAAAGTGCTTTAGAGGGATCTGATTTCTAAATGGGGCTGAACACTCATTCGCAGGGATAGATAGGGAGTGCTTGCAGTCTCTGGAAACCCAGGTCCCTTGAAGTATAAGAGAAGGCTCTGCCTCCGTAGGTGCAACAGATTTTTACAGGATATTCAAGTTACTGTTTATTTACCAATGTCTGATGTCCCTAGGCTTCTAGAGTTTTCTTCAGTTTAACCCTGCTTAATATCTCCTTCAAGTTCTGGGCTCCCCGGTTCAAGAAGGACAGGGAACTGCTGGAGAGGGTACAGCAGAGGACTAGAAAGATGATTAGGGGCCTGGAGCATCTCTCTTATGAGGGGAGGCTGAGAGACTTGGGTCTTTTTAGTCAAGAGAAGACAGAGGGGATCTCATCGACACCTATAAATACTTAAAGGGTGGGTGTCAAGAGGATGGGGCCAGTCTTTTTTCAATGGTGCCCAGTGACAGGACAAGAGGAAATGGGCACAAACTTGAACATAAGAAGTTCCATCAGAAATTCCATCTAAACATGAGGAGGAGCTTCACTTTGAGGGTGGCAGAGCCCTGGGAGAGGTTGCCCAGGGAGGTGGGGGAGTCTCCTTCTCTGGAGACATTCAAACCCCACCTGGACACATTCCTGTGCAACCTGCTCTGGGTGGACCTGCTTTGGTCGGGGGGGTTGGACTAGATGATCTCCAGAGGTCCCTTCCAACCCCATATCATTCTGTGATTCAAGATCCCAGACTGTGACCTGTGGTTCTGATTTACATCTCTGAACAGACACGTTCCCCTGGAGCTGTTTGTGCAGGGTCCCAGGGTCAGAAACAGTCCCAGGCCCTTGTGTGATGCAGGCCCTGCCAGAAAGGCTGCTGTGGATGAAACTGCTGCTTCCCCAGCGCCGATCTCACAGGATGTGTGTGAGGACTGGTCCCTCCTGTGGGAGAGGGTGGGTGCAGCACGCTGTTTGTGGTACCCAGCTGAGAGCTGAAGCTCGAGAGCCTCATTGTGCACAGGCTGTGCAGACAGTAAGTATTGCCAGAGGGTGTTACACAGCATCTTTTATTCCTAACAGACATTGGATCGTTGATTTTTATTATTTTTTTTTTCAAAAAAGCTATTTTATTAGGCTTACGTGTTTTGAAGATCCATTTTTTTTAAAGTATAATGCCATATATTTAAATTAATTTAAATGATACGCACAATTTCCAAAGGAGCCAGGATTTTGAACTCTTTGTTGCCAACAGCCATCCCTTCCCTGTGTCCACTCATGCTGCTGCGGTTGTTGCTATTGCTACAGAACTGGAATTGTAAAACCGAGATTCTACCTTTATTTAAGCAAATAAAACATGGATGTATTCAAGTGAATTGAGGAAGTGGCTGGTGCCTTCTTGGTTTATCAAAGGTCGGGTTGGCTCCTGTTCTCCTGAGGGATGTGGAACTGGGTTGGTTGTAGGGAAGTCACTAAGGAATCAAAAGGGGTTAGTTATTCCTGAATGTACCTCACCAGAGCAGTAGTAGAAGGAATATAACTTATTTACCAGCTGAATCCAGTAACCACTTTTGTCTCCTCAGGAATGTATCAGAAAATACTTCCATAACACAAATACTCCGCATTGCTTCCTTCTGTCACTACATTTTAATTTTCAGCCTGGGCTCTCGGCAGGAAGCCACGTACTTCCCTTTGATTTCTTCCTGTGATCTTGGAACCAGTCCCTGGGGCTCCAGGGGGCTGTAGCCAGGCTTGATTTCCATAGGATGCGGGGACAGAAATCAGCATATGGGGACTGTTCTCTTCCGCTGTCCTGCCAGGATGGCCGCTTATTTTGGGAGGCTTTCTCTGTGTTTGCAGAGTCCGTGCCTGCTGTTTCTGTTGGCAGAACCTTTTAGTTTGTTTTTCTCCCATGTCTGCTTGCCTATCTGCACTTCCAGAGGCAGCGTAGGGTTTAAAGTCCTTGGAAATCCTGTGTTTTAAATGTGGGCTGGAGTATCTGGGGGCCTCCAAGCACCTTCGTTCAGCCGTTTCAAAACACAGCTGAAAACAGACGGCCAGCTTGTCCTGATGGGAGATGGTCCCAGCCTTGGAGGGGTTGGGGAGGTTGGCTGAGGCTGTCTCACATCAGTGAGGGTCTGTCTGAAGCCATCAGAACCATGACTCCCCCGATGGGAGATGTTTGTAAGAAAAGGCAGGGCAGAAGCAGGAGCGATGGTGAGGCTGTTCCTCACTCCCTGCTTGGCCACCACAAGCAATAGCAGAGGGCTCCGTGGGGTTTGTGGACGAGGGAGAGGATGGATCCTTGGAGGGCCAAGTGTCTCCAAAGGAAAGCAGGGAGCTGCTGCCATCTGCAATGCTGTGGCACATCCCTATGTGTTTGCAAAGGGGGAGGAGTGGTGGGGCGTCTCCTGCTCCCATCCATCCCTCTCTCCCACAGCCCTCTTGAGGACTTTGCTGCTCTGGGACCATGTGGTGCAGCTCTAAGGCCGTGCAGCTGCTTGGTGGGATAAGGAAATGGCAATCTTCTCTAGAATTGCCACCTGAGGAGCCCCAGGTGGCTGCAGATGCCCTGGGGTGACTCTCTGGGTGGTGGAGGCTCCTCACACACCGTGTTTCCTGAGTGCAGCTCCTCCCTGCTCCCGAGGACGGCTCCTCGCAGCAGCACAGCTGTAGGGAGGTTTCTGGGAACATACGTTCTTCTGTGTGTTTGAAGGTGAGCAAAAGATACAAATGCTCTAAAAATGCCCTTGTAGGATCCTCCTGAGCCCTGCTCCAGGCTCTGGTTCTTAACAGGGAGTTTGTTGCAGCTCTGGCACCAGGGGCAGTGGCTGCTCTGCTCTGGGGTGAGGAGCGCTCCCTGCTCTGCCCACGGGGGAGGTGATGGGCAGAGTTACCTGCTGCTCCCGCAGGAGTTACCCCGTGGCCTCAGGTGGGTCAGAGTCCTTCAACTGGGAAAGTGGGCCTGGGATGATCTGAGAACTCAGGGAATTCACCCACTGAGGGCGATTGCTCGGGCAAAAGCAACCGGGGATGGGCAGAGATACCCCTCGCCCCCAGTGCTGGCACAGCTGCTGGAGCACCTCTTTCCTGGGGGCTTCCAGGGGTCCTTCAAGGGTCTGTACTGTTGTCAGTCCTTCTCATGAGCACTTCCCACTTGGTCTTCCCTCCTCATCCCCGGGCATCTCCCCAGGCAGAGCCAAGCTGTGCCCAGGAATGGAGAGAAACCAGCTGGGTGCCCGAGAGGTGGCAGGTGGGACCTTCTCTGGGGCAGATGGGCAGCAGTACCATGCTGTGGCCCTGGCAGGCAGGGGCTGCTCGCCAGCTACCTCCCCTGCCAGGCCACCACTCACCACTCACAGCCCTTTCCCTTTCCCTAAAAGCAGCCAGGACAGTGCTGGGGGGACCTGCTGGTGGGGACCAGCGTTGAGTGTGTCCTGCCATGGCTGGTGTGCCCACTGGAGGGATGGGGGGCATCCCAGGAGAGCGGGCAGCCCTTTCCCTGAGCCCTCCTGCCCATCCTACACCGCCTTTCCCCAGGGCTGAGCCCAAACCCTCGCTCCGAGGGTGAAGCAGGGGCTGTGCCCACCTGTGTGGCTTCGGAGGAGGTTTTTTTGTGCAGTTAGGGGGCTGGCACAGGGGCTTTGAAGGGTGGCAAAGGGATGTTGAGGGTGGCTTTTATTTGCGGTTCCCTGGCGGGGCTGAGCCCGCTGTAAACCGAGGCGCTAGAGGGAGACGGTGGCTGCTTTTTCTGATGCGTGGGCTGGGGGGGGCTGGCTTTATTTTGGAAGCCCCCCCTTAGCAGGAGAGGTGTCTTTGCCCGGGGAGGGGGCTTCCCCGGGGATGCCGGGGCAGCGCAGCGGAGGAAATTGGGAAGGGGGGGGCTCCGGGGCACGATGCCCGCCTTGCCCCGCTGCGCCCGGGCGGCCGCGGGGAGGAGACGGAGGACCGGGGATGCGGGGACCGGGGATGCGGGAACCGGTCCCGCCCCGCTGGGCGGGAGGAGCATCAGCCTGGAGGGGGGATCCGCCCCCGCGATGGGCTGGGGACCCCACACGACCCCCCTCGGGTACCGCCATCCTTTCTTTCCGTGAGCAGGGCAGGTTTTCTGTCCTCCCCGTCCCAAGGGTTCTCCTGCCCGGTGTCCCTTGCCAGCAGCGGCACCGGGCCGCCTCCCGGAGTGGCAGGGCATGGGATGGAAGGGTGCGATGATCTCTGAGGTCCCTTCCAACCACTACGATTCTGTGATTCTGGGAGTCTCCTTCGCCTGCCTGCCAACAAACCAGCCCCTGGGACCTGCTCCAGGGTCCCTTTCCCTGCTCCAGCCTTTGGGGGAGTAAACCGTACCCGCTTTTCAGCCATTAGCCAGGGGGGGAAGGTGTTTAATTGCCTCGGAGCTCTCATGATGGGACAGTTTACAGAGATGTGGTTTGGTACCAGGTGGGGTTTGTTCCCCATCAATTCACAGCCAGTTCGTGGAGGGCACTGGGTGCTCAGGGAAGGAGCTGGGAAAGCAGATCCCGTGTCCCCAAAGGTGGGGTGGCAGCAGGACACAGCCGAGGGCACACCTGAGAAGTGACTCCGTGTGTCCTTCGGCCTCGCCCAGCGTCCTGGCCACACTGGCCACTTTCACACTCTGCCTCGCGCTGCTGTCCCCAACCCTCACCCCGGCCGGGGGGCACCAGTCTCTGCCAGGGGAAAGAGATGGTGTTTTGTTCCCCGGCTCGCTCCTTGCCCAGCGGCTGATCCCGCACACACAGGGCCCTTTCAGCAACGGGAGAGGAGGGTGATGGCATCTGGGAACGCAGGGAACAAAGGCCACCATTGATGCTGGCTGCAGCCCCACGGGTTTCTGTGAGCTGGGGCAAGGCCGGGGTGCGGGCACAGCTGGGCACGGAGCTGGGGCAGCAGCAACGTATGAGCTAAACCTCCCCCGGCTAGGCTGCGTGGAAGGTTGCTCCCTACCCAGAGGGGGATGAAGTGAAGGAGAGAGGAAAGAGTATGGTCCCTTCCAACTCTAAAAAATTCAGTGAAATTCAGTGAAACCTCCCCCGGCTGGGCTGCATGGAAGGTTGCTCCCTAACCAGAGGGGGATGAAGTGAGGGAGAGAGGAAAGAGTGGGATTTGGGCTAAAGTCCCATTTTGGAAGAGTAGCGAGGGTCCTGGCCATGGGTAGGTAGGTGCATGGAAGGTTGCTCCCTAACCAGAGGGGGATGAAGTGAGGGAGAGAGGAAAGAGTGGGATTTGGGCTAAAGTCCCATTTTGGAAGAGCAGTGAGGGTCCTGGCCATGGGTATGTGGCCATGGGTCCTGGCCATGGGTAGGTAGCAGCCCACCATCTCCTAGCCCACCCTGCCTTTGATGGGCACCTCACTGAGCCTGAAATCTGCATCTTGGGCAGATCCTTTGCAAAGAGGAGCAGTGCCAGGGTTTGAATGTTGATCCAGGAGCATCCTTCCATAGCCTCACTCCCTGGAGGCTGCCGGGCACAGCTCCTGGGGGGGGCAATTTCCAAGAAAAGCAACATTTGAATGGATAATTTTTGAGTAGCTGCTGTGGAAACATGCGTCTGAGGGCAGGGTTCACAGAGCAGAGGAGCAGAAAGCCACCAGCTGATGACCTCCCCACGCACCAGCACTGTGCAAACCCTTAATGACCCTGCGGCGAACGGCTCACAGCCACCCCCGGAGTGCATGGACAGGACATGGAGAGCCCTGCCATAATTGAATCCGCCCTCGTGCCTAAACAAGACCGTCTTATTTCATGATCTCAGTGAGAAAAATCTGTGCATCCTACGTGGCTCTGGACGTGCTTGGGCCATGTGTACTGCCCGATGTGAGCCCGGCGAGCTTTGCTCAAGCCGTGCCCGTGAGTTTTGCTGTGGTCGTGCTGTGAGTGCTGCATCAGGAAGTTCAGCAGAAGCTGTGGCTGCGTAGGCTGAGCGTTAAAGGGCAGCAGCACATCCCCAAAAACGAGCGAGCAGCTCCTGCAGGACCCCAGCTTTCCTCAGGGTGGCTGGAGGAGATCTAGGGGTGTTGAGGGCTCCCCAGTTGGGAACCAAGATTTTGAAGTCAGGGTGATGAACCTCATGGCCTGGGTGGGAAGGGAGGGGTGGGCAGAGTCCTGCGGGGGCTACTGGCCCA